TCTGTGCAAGAATAGTGTTTCAGTAAGCTTTATTTCCTGACTGGCATTACTGTTCACATAAAAACCTTAGCACTTTCATGCTGTTTCAGTTTTCACACAGTCAGCCTCTTGGTGTATTGCCACCCAGTAACTGGCTTTCTGAAAGAAGAATTACAATTGAAGGCACCTTATCTTAGCTGCATAGATAATACAAAATTAACAATATGCAGAGGTTTGGGGTTTTTTTGTTTTAATTTTGCAAGTTATTTTGCAAGATAATGCCTGTATAAGAAGGAAGGATAATATATTGAAAGCTAGTGTAGTAGTTGGTTTTGTTTGGTGCCTTTTCTTTTAAAGACTTAATTTAAAGCCTTGTGAAGTCGGTGTGACATCAGCACAATATGAAATGCAGTATGTCGGTTCATTATTACTCTGATATAGGTAAAGAATAAAGTGTCTGATAACTTCAAGTGAACAGCAGAAGTCAGAATCGTGGAATCATTGCGATTGGAAAAGACCCTTAAGATCATCAGGTCCAACCAGTAAAGTTGACAGTCTCAGAGCAAATTTGTTTTGCACCTGTAGCTCATACTCAAAGTTGTGTCCAGTGAAACATTTCCCTGACGTGAATCCGTGTGGCTTTGCTGGTTTTTGATCAGTCATAAAGTTTTTCATAAGTTTTTCAGAATCAAATCATGATGCTTAAATCAGTAACCCTTCAAAACAGTGAATTCAACTCAGTCTTCCTCAGTTACTCTTTATTATTCTACTATTCTGTCAGCCAAACTGTTCCTTGTATATTATTCATGCCTACTAAAAAATTGTTATTATTTTAATTTTTAGTGTTAAGAAAGTAATTAGATAGACGGCCTTCTGGTTCACCTTTTTTAAATTTTAATCCTGTGTACAAAATGTGTTTTTAATCGTGTACAAAAACTAAAGTAAAATGCCTGTTTATTCTTACTAGTCACTTATAAAGGTAATGGTTTTTTTATTAGAGGTTAATAAGATACAACTATGTAATATGGCATGATGCATCTCGAAGAGTTTTGGCTTAGTATATCATTCTGTTTAATAAAATTTGCACAAAATTTTCCTCCTGCCGATGCTGTTGCCATTCTCTGTAGTCCTTCCAAAGCCTTTAAACTCATTTTGGGTTTTATGTTCCTTTACATTAGGGTATAGTTTTCTAAACAAAACATTTTCTTGAAAATACTACTTTGAACTGGCTGTGATGCTTTTAGGAAGCAACATTTGGCGAGGAGATTAAAATGACAGTCTCTTTTACCTCCAGCAGAGTGTTTACACACAGTCATTAATAGGAGAAGCATTGCTGTTGATATGGCAGATACGTCATGTCACAGGGTCCAGAAATCCTTTCCACAGTGTCGTCTCAGGCTTTTGATCCAGTCACTGAAGAGGGTGACCAAGCTTTGGCCCTGAGTTGGGGCAAAACAGATGAAGGCCAGGAATGGAGTAGTTTTTCACTTTGTTTACATGACTGAAGGGCACATGGGTTAAAGGCATCGGCCTAAAGTCACACAGGAGGTGTTTGGCAATGCTGGGAACCTTGCTAGTCTCAAGCCAGGTTGGTGTGCGAGGATTCAATGGCACGAATGTGCCACCAGCTGAACTCTGTCAGCAGTTGTTCCAGGAAGGAGGCAGCTTGCGCTTGCGCAGCAGCGTTGTTTTTTCTCTGAGAAATTGTAAAATTAAATGTTTGATGTTTTTAGAAGGCAGTTTTCTAGAATATAGTCTTTCCACTACTATTAGCAATTAACTGGTATATGCAACTACCCAAATTAAGCATCTGGAGAGAAAACAGTAGGCCAGTGCTTGCAAGGTCTGTATTTGAAAATAAATTAAAGGCATTTTCTGCATTATGTTATTTTTTACATCGTAGTATCAATATCAGTGAATAAAAGACTGATAAATAGCCCTAAATTCACTTCTGATTTCTTTTGCATCTTAGATTTATACATTTGAAAATTGCACAGAAAGCTTTTTGCCAGCTTTTAAATACAGTCAAATAAATGTGTCAACAGTAAATGAGTAAATAAATAAATTTGAAAACTACTTAACAGGAATCATCAGGTGCTTAAGATTGTTGAGACCAAACATTGTTTTTAAAGGCTCTTTTGAACTTTTACATATCTTCTTCCTTAAGTTCTCATAGGATATGGAGGTTATTGTGAGTTACGTTTGCTTTACACTAAGCAGTTTCCTTAGGAACTCCATGGTGCTTCTGATGAATAAACTGCCCAGAGAAACCGAATAAGTAAACAAGGGTCTGCTTTTATCCTGTGCTAATGAAATGCTTTGGTGTTTCAAGACTTTTAGAGTGAATGGTATCAGAATGGGTAAGTAGCTACAAATTTATAGATTTGTACTTTCTAGCTGGGTAATTTTCAAAATTATGAACATCATCAGTGTTTTCCTTACAGAAGTGTGTCTGTCTTCCTGCCAAGTGGATAACTGAGCTAACAGGTTTCTCATATGTTTTTATTCTTTATTTCTCTAGCCTCCAAAACTCTTATAAATAGTATGCTCCGGGACCCTTCTCAGATTCCAGATGGAGTTCTAGCAAATCAAGTCTATCAGGTATTCATCACAGTTGTCTTTTTTTTTTCCTGTGGCAATGCTGTTATCTGCCTAGCAGAGTAAAAGATTTTAAACCTTATTTAATTACTGTCATCGTAAACTATCAGTGAGGTCAGAGTGCACAATAAATGGCAATGCCGTATTTGTGAGGGGAGCATTTCACTTTTTAATAGCTTGCTTTTATAGTGAATAAAAGCATGCAGTTTTTGCTTTCTGTGATTAAATCTGAACAACATCTGATAGCCTTTTTGAAGAAAAGTAGTTACTGTTTTTAAGATACTGTTTAACTATAACTGTTTGGTAGTTGCCCATCACTATACTACTATTCTTATTTGTCTGCAGTGTACTGTGAATGACTGTTGTTATGGACCACTGGTGGACTGCATCAAACAGTATCCTTTCCCATAAAATTTTAGGTGCACAATTGACGGGCTTAGGCTGTGTGGAAGAGATGTGTCTAGCTTTAACCTGACATAAAGTTCTGCTTCACGAGACACGTTTCATACTCCTCTGTTTTACATTCAATCACCTAAAGGGTCACTGCAGAGCTTTTTCCTACGTTGTTTAACAAAAATCAGATGGACCACAAGAAGTTGTCAGTTTGGTGGCTACATGTTCGTATGCCTGATTGAACCTCTTTGGTTCTGATGAGTTGAAATGCATGTCTGGTTTTCTATTAAAAATAGTGGCCTGTGCTTTGAGTGGTGGAGTTGGGCTAGGAGATCTCTGGAAATACCTTCCAATCTCAACTACTCCATGATTAAATTAATAAGTTGCACGGATAGCGTTCAGCATTATGGCATTGCTTTGGTATGGATAGGAATTTAATTGTAATGTTGTCAAGTGCAGTTCAGGTGCTAATGGCACTACTCCACACAGTACTGAGTATTTCAGGCTAGGATTATAATTTGTTAGGGATGATTGCTGCAACCCCAAGTCTGTTTTATTAAAGTCCTGAATGAGTAGCTCTTCTGTTTCACTCTCTCAGAGGACCAATTTCAAAATCATGGCCTGCTATCACTGAGCAGGCTAGCAAGGCAAATCCCTCCCAAGCCCTAGAGAATCGTTGCATTAATCTCTGCATACAGTCTGGGGCAAGATCTTGATTTCATCATATAGTTGCAGGATACAAAAGCTACAGTGATGTGTAGTTATGCATGGAAAAACAACATGTCTGTAGTTGTGATGCCCATGATGGTCACTCCGTAAAAATATGTTCTTTCCACTAGAAATACTTGCCTGGTGTCTACTGCAGACTCAGCCCTGCTCCCATTGACTTTAACAGCAGCAGAACGGAGTTCTACTTGTATTTCTATTTTGTGGGTTTAGTCATACTTTTAAGTATTAATTGAGACTGTACTCAACATTAAACACAGCTCCCTGAAAGTGGATTAGTCTGATAAGTTACACTTTTTGAAAGGTTGTCGGTCACTGATTTTCATATCCAGAGTTTTAAGGTTAATGTTTTGTTGATGAACAGTCTGGCTGTACTCTTTTGAAACTGTCACATTTAAAAGTATTAATAACACATATGTAGAATTATGAACAGTTTTAAGAATAATTTGCCTGCAGTCTAAAAGGGTCTTTTTTGTCCTCTTAAGATTATGGTTCAAGTGAAGTTATTGAATACACAGTGACATCAGTGACAATAATGAGGAGTTTTTCAAATCTGTTTTGGTACAGAAAAGTTTAATGCTAAGCTGTGCGAGTACATTATCTTCAAGTACGCTGCTGAATTAGATGTTAATTTTGAGGTGCATAAAATAGTTAAAAATCAATTTAAAGTTAAGGTTTTAAAAGCATAATGTCTTCTGAAGGATTGCATATTGATTTTAAATATAACTATCTAATTGTATATGCATGGACTAAAGTATGAAGTCAACCTCTTTGTAAATGCCAAGAGGCTATTTTTCAGTAATAGTTCAGATGCTTACGGGAAGCTGGGCTGCTAGATTGCATGAGCAGAAAATGGCTTGTGAGGTTATTTACAAGTTTTGCCCCATGGTCATTGCCATACATCAATAACAGGTATTATTATAGACTAAGTCTAAGTGTTTCTGCTTATGGTGCATTATAAATTGTGTTTTCAGTGTTTTTCTTACATCTCTGCTGTTCTTCATTTGCCCCTTTTGTTCTGTAACTGCTAGTAGAGTTTAACATTATGCATAGTTTAAATTGGTAACTACTGTATATATAGATATGAAATTATTTTGTACAATTAGGCTTTTTGCTATTCAGCATAAAGTGTTGATATAAATCAAGTAATTAAGTCTAAGGTTAAGACAATCTGTGGTTTAAGTTTTCAGAAGTTATTCTAAACAGAATTAGGAACTTAATTATTTTCAGTGTAAGATCCTTTATCATGATGTGCCATGAGATTCTTAAAAGCTTCCCCAGTAGAACTCTGACCTCCAGGAGGATGCATTAAAAATACTGGATGTGGTGACTTTTTTACATATTGCTGAGAATAGCCCACTGGATCAACAGGCTGCCAGGGAAGTGAAAAGGACTTCACTGTAAAATATTATTTCATCCTTCCCTGACATTCATTCGTACTTCTTAAAAATCAATTAGAAGGATGTTTTGTTACACTAAGATGTTTCAGATGGATATAGTGCCTATCACTTTCAGAATGTAAAGAGAAAAATAGTTTATTTCCTTCTTTGCTGAATTAGAGAATTGACACACAGGTCAGTAAAGAGCAACTTTCAAGGTATTTAACAAGATGTTTTCAGCTGACACTTTCTTTTAAATTTCAAGGGGAAATAAAGCGAAAATTGAAATATTACCCTTATTACTTAGAGCTCAGATCACTGATCACTTCTGAAATGCAGATGAGGGCAAATGAATTTTATCATTAATTACTTTAACTATGACGCTTTTCTGATTTGATTCTTTTCCAAAGTAATCTTCCATTTCTTAACCTAAAGCCATCAGCGCTATTGGGCATGAGCATGAAGTCTTGCTGCGAGAAATGCTTTTGGAAAAAAATCTCTCTTTCATAGGTAAGAATCTGTAGTAGAGGCTAGCAGTGAATCCTTAACTTCAGAGATTTCAGTGGCTGTTTACTTAGGAAAAAAATAAGCCTCAGTGCTCTTTGTATTAGGTAGTAAAGGAAGAGTAAAAAATGATTGATGCTGTACGTGTTATCTTTTATTGATTTAGAACTGAGCAGGAACTCGGTTACCTAATACCCTATATATACAGCACATGCACAGGCTTGCAATTAATATTTTATAGAATAAGTAGCTGAAAAAAATGCTTTAATATCTGCTGCAGTATTACTTTTGGTGTCATGAGATATTAGCCATAATCTAGGCCTTATGAGACTTAGGAGGAAGCATAAGAAATATTAACTTCAAAATGCTTTATGTATTCAAGAACTGCTAGACGATTCACTCTTTTAGCTTTCTGTGAAGTTTCTGCTGAATTTTTGTCCCCTGCCTCCCAACCAATGCAAGCACTCTTTC